AACAATATACATCTCTTCATAATCAACAAAAATATTATACACATGAATTTTACCGCAAGCTGAATATTTGACCCACTTCTTTACCACATCATGGTAAATTAACCATTTTATTATGTCATTTCATCTTATATTTAACATATTCAATTCACCCTTTGTCCATTTCCTCATTAAAACACTGACCCAGAGTAAATGTTATAAAGAAAAACAGCTAACACATTTACTGGCTAATTTCTGTAGTATTTATTCAATATTTAATCAGTCTTTTTTTTAGTAACCGTTTGATATTTAGCACATATAGATCATGTAGATCATTTCACAATCAGTGTCTGAAGGTTTTAACTGGGTCAATAATTAACCGCAGCTTAAATATGAAGCCGTCAGGAGCAGAAAGGTGTGTGGGTAATGTTAACAGCGCATGTTTACTGTCTGCATTCAGCTCAGGGTCAGAAACCAGCGCAGGCGACTGAAGAAAACAACACCTAAAGATCACATTACAGGCTAAATACATCTGTGTGCTTTCTCAAGGGATTCTGAGGGACTTTCTAGAGCGTGTGGAAAGTCATTTTAGTGCTTTGGGTTGTTATGGTTAAACTAAAATATATATATTTATATATATATATATATATATATATATATATATATATATATATATATATATATATATATATATATATATATATATATATATATATATATATATATATATCTATATATATCTATATCTCTATATATATATATATATATATATATCTATATATATCTATATATATATATATATATATATATATATATATATATATATATATATATATATATATATATATATATATATATATATATATATATATATATATATATATATATATATATATATATATATATATATATATATATATATATATATATATATATATATATATATATATATATATATATATATATATATATATATATATATATATATATATATATATATATATATATATATATATATATATATATATATATATATGTATGTATGTATGTATGTATATATATATATATATATATATATATATATATATATATATATATATTTACATAATGCAAAAATATTTGCATGTACTTTTTTAAACCATTAATTAAAAATATGTTCATATAAGCTATATTAAATATTATTACTGATAATGATATATGATATATCAAATGTTCTTTACTTTAGTATGGTTCAAAAACACTACATAGTGTCTACTGTAAATTCAGCCAAGTAGAGCTTTCATAACAGAAAGCTTTTCAGGCATTTATTTCCCAAACTGAAGTGCCATTCAAATAAGTCTAAAAACATGCACTTTTATGCAGTTTAACTCATGTTATTGTGCTGCAGTGCACATATTCATTGTGCTACATTGCACTGATTCATTTATTTGAACTGGACATAACCACTGCACATGGACATTTGTAATTATGTACACACCCACTGTTCATATATATTTGTAATTGTCTGCACACTTCTGATTATTAATAGCAACCTGAATATATACTCATTTACTGTAAATCTCTGTTCATAGCTAATACAACCTGTATATAATGTTGATAGTACATCTATCTGTGAATATCACCATAGTTTCTCTATAACTGCACTGATACCTGTATCCTGCACTTGCTGCTGTTGCACTGCTGCTCAGACCTAAAGTGCATTTTGTTGCATTGTGTAATGACAAAGTTGAATCTAAAAATCTAAATGCATTGCATGTGTTTACTGTATGCATTTCTGCTTTAATGTCACTGAAACTTATTTATAATAATTTAACAAAACAGCTATTTACAGTACAAACACTTTAAAAAAATGCTTAATTTAATGACAATTCAGTTTGGGAAATAAATGAATGCAATTTTCAGACAAAACAAAACTTACTTAAAAGTTTAGAATTTAAAGTAGGCACTATAATGAAAGAATGATGCACTGAATAACAGATAGAAAAATTAATATGCACCATAATTATGCATGCTATTAAAACTAACAAATCAAAATAAGTGCACGCAAAACTAAAACTGCACATGATCCAATTAAAATCAGTCCAACATAATTAATGCACACTATTAAAACAAATAACAATGCAAATAATCACAGCAAACAGTGAGGGAATGTTTGTTTATTAAGATGAAACCTTTAATGCATCATTAAGGAAGTCACCCTGTTATTATAATTCAACTTAGCGCACTAAAACAGTTACAACAGCATAAAAACACTCATTTTCTCTGGTTCCTGAGAGCACAATAACCTAACAGATGCAATAAAACATCGTAAAGACTCCACAAGCTTCATTCTTCAGAGCTGTAAATGCATTTTATGAGGAAAGAGATATGAGATATGATACACATCCCTCTGGGAAGTTTATGACCGCTGTCCTCAGGGAAGCCAGCACTACATTTCTTTATTCTACGCATCCTAACAACTAAATAAACATGTGTTTGTACTGGCGACGGTTCTCATAAATGTGTCTTCAGATAATCCTCCTCATTCTGAGAGAGGTGCAGTCTCTGTTCGCAGGTGTTTGAGAGCCTCAGGACACTTATTAGTGCGCATTAAAGCTTTATTTGCTCTCCTACTGGTTTTAAAATCATCATCTCACCCTGTAAAAGAGCCTAACGAAACATGTGAAGATGCTCATTAGACAGAGATATAATTAGGATCTCAGATAAACCAGATGTTCAGCTAAATGAGGAGATCATCACCATCATTCTGACCTGAGGGAATATTGATATTGTTTTATCGTAAAGTAAAAATTGTCATTAAATCGAGCTAATGTTACACACACTCTCATGAAGCACCGCAAACGACTTAATCGACTCTATATGCACTCTAAGTCATTTAAATAAAATAATTCAGTATCTGAGCTTTTACGCATGCACATCAATGCACTCACTACTCTTTTACTCCTACTTATTTACACCATATACTTTTACTCGCACAACATTTTTAGGCAAGTAATGCTACTTTAACTTTTCAGTACTCTTTCCACCGCTGATCACAGCATGCAGACTGAAAAGTGTAGCCGTCTCAGTTGTGCGCATAGGGGAGACCGGGTATAGTTGAAACACAGGGAGAGTTGCAACACTACCAATTCCACCAATCAGGGATGAGATAGGGGTCATGTAACATTTTCAGTCTCCTCAGGTTAACTTAACAATCACACATGAAGATTTTCCCGTCAGTCTTGCAATCTCTTCTGAAGCTCCAACAGAAAATCGAATTCTGAGGTAAGAAAGTGAAAAAAAACAAGATG